GCTGACTTGAACGCGTCCAGCCCCTCCAGAAGCTCTCTAACCCGGTCCTCCCCAACCTGAGGTCTGAAGGCGATCCCCTCGAGTCCGGCTTCTATCACAGCAGGGAAGTCCCGGTCCCTGCACAAGAAAACGGAGGTGAAGAATTGGTTAAAGAGGTCCGCTTTCTCCTCTGATGCAACCACCAGATTGCCCAGCTTATCCTGCAGGGGTCCCACATTACCCGGCGCCTTCTTCATCCTCCCAATATATTTGAAAAAGGACTTTTTGTTATCCTTTTGATGTACTTAGACTGAGATATGATCAATGTAATACATCTCTTCCTGATCCGTGCCCTAAATCATTTCCTGCTCCCCACTAACTTATCAACTGCTAAAACATTTCTCCTTTTCTACCCTTCCAACTTAGATAGCTGTTTCTTTCTGACTGTTAATGGGGTAGCTGCACTCCCACTTCTTTTTCACACTTCCATCTGACTGTCCTTAACACTTCATTTAGTGTTTGACAGCTTGGGACAAATTGACTATCTATCAAGAAAAATGTGCTTACTCATGTGTTGCTCCAGAAAAGTGAGAGAGTAGATATTCCCCACATCTGCATCAGAGCTAATTCACTGAGTATGCTGTAATCTAGGATATGTAGGATCAAAGGACATTTCTGTCTTCAATTCAAGACCACCCTGGGCTGGCCATAGCTATGGTGGTAGCCTGTGCCCATGAACTCACAAGTCCTACTGGAGCAGTAACATTTTTTGACCAACAGGGGTGGATTAGTAAATTCTAGAGTTTTATGTGAGCTGAAACTGGATGTGGATTATGGAACTCCCTAGAGATGACAGTGTATCAGTCAGACCTAAATGCATAACTTTCTGCAGTTCTATTTTGCTGCTTCTCAAGAGTCTTCATACAAAGACAGTACATCTGTCCATACAAACAACCTATAAACTAGTCAAGCAATCCCTGTATTGATTAAAAGAGGAGGGATTTCGGTCCAGGAAAAGGTCTCTAAATCTCAGGTCCATCCTTTGTCTAGTGGAAATGTACTTGTGGAGTTTTATTAAATCTTGAAAGCTGCACACCTTCCTCCTTTTATTTGTATTATCCTAATGCAGCCAAGCTGTGCAAGTGGTTCATATGCATAAGTCCATATGTCTTGGACAGTAGCCAATCTCTTTCCTTTGTCCTACATATTTCAGTTCAGCTGAGGAAAAATCTAATTTGGCCCCTCAAATCTACCAGTTGTTCATCCATCCAAAAGTTGCCTTCTGGTGCATGATGGGATTCACCAATAGAGGGGGGAATTTTAAAGAAAACAAAAAGATTAAGGGCTGAAAACCAAACACAAAAAAGCAATAAAGAGAAAAAAAAGATGAGACGGAATGAAGGGAGGGGAAGAGATGGTGGCAATTGTACAGAGTCCTTGGTTCTTGAGGGATGCAAAGGAGATGAAGGAGATGAAGGGATGCACACATCAGATGAAGCAATGGGAAGACATTTATAACAAATATGTTGGGGAGGTTGATAAACTTAAAGCATCTAAATTTGAGATTTTAAAGCTGCTTTTAGTGCATGGGTTCTTGCTCATCTTTCCTAACACTTCCTACTCTGTCTGATCTTGCAGCTGGATAGCGTTGCTGGTGAATGGGTCGGACTTCCTCCACTGCCTTCAGCCAGGTGTCTCTTTGGACTGGGAGAGGCAGATGGCAAAATCTATGTAATTGCAGGCAAGGACCTTCAAACAGAGGAATCCCTAGATTCAGTATTGTGCTATGACCCTGTGTATGTTGACATTTTCTTCACTAAGGAAGTCTAAATGCTTTTGTTAATTGGAGTTGTCTTAATGCTATGATCTTCTAAATCCAGGGCAATAAAATGGAATGAAGTCAAAAAACTTCCAATCAAAGTATATGGCCATGCTACAGTCTCAAACCATGGGATGATATATTGTCTTGGAGGAAAGACTGAGGACAAGTGAGTTTCAAATGTTAATTTGTAGTATTAATTTGTTGGTTATTTCATAGACTTCATGTTTTCATACTCAGAAAACAAAAAGCACATTATTGGTATCTTTGTAGCTTAAGGTTACAAAGATCTGGCGTGTGGAGTCACATAATTGTATAAAACAAAAATTCCATGATTTTAAGCCTCTTTTCAGACTGTTATTCCAGCCAATTGGGTTAATCAGCTGGCTTTCATGTTTCTATGTCAGACTCTGACTTGGGTTATACACACACACCTCAATGTTTGTCATTGGGTTCCTCATAAAATACTTTAGTCTTAGATTCTTGGTCGTGCTTCAGAGACTATATAGCAGGGTTAGGCAACATTTTTTGGCCAGAGTGCTGAAAAAACCCACAATGCCTTGGAAGGTACCTGAGTGCCAGCCTACCAGAAAAACAAAACAAGGGCAGGGGGTACATGGCAGGATGCCCTGCTTGTGCCCCTTGCCCCCCAGCCCAGGCTCCTTGGCTATCAGCAGCTACCCAGAACCTGGACCAGCTGCAGCTGGGAGGCTGCAAACAGCTGCTGCCTCCCCACCTTGGCACCAGCTGTCTCCTGCCAATGGGGTGCTGATAGCTCCCAACCTGCGGGCGGCACTGGGCCGGGGCTGGGGCTGGGACTGGGGCCTGAGGCGCTCTTACCTGGCTGGGGTCCTAGGCAGCCATGTGCTGCTCCATCTGGGTACGGCTCTTCCTACCCCGTGGGAAGCAGTCTGCATGCCAAGCATGCTGCGTGCTACGGGTTGCTGACCCCTGCCTTAGATCAACATGGCTACACCCAAAAACCCAGCAATGCTGAAAGTCAAACACCTACTATAGGTGCGGGTGGCACCAGCCACACATGGAGCAGCAGCAGCGCAGGGTGGTGAGTGGTGGCAGTGGCTGGCGCTGCATGTGAGCTTTCCCCCCACTTGTGTCCATCCAGCGGGCCTGAGATTCCAGTTAATAGAAATGCCTTTTAGCAAAATGCTGGATAACAGGAATTTTTCTTTACATTGCTCCTGTCCTGAGTCTAACAGGTTAAAAATGAGACAATGTCGAGTGAGGGATAATAATTAGCATTATTCAGAACAAGGCAAACACTCATCAAGCCATATGGATAGTTTAATGAATTTTTGTTGTAGATATTGAAAGAAATAGAAGTCCTTAAACTGCCCTATATAACACACACAAACACACAGCAAGAAAATCCAGTCAGGAATATCTAGTTAATATTATCCATAATAGAAAAAAAAAAAAGCTGAGACCATCTTTCTTTCCCTGGTGCATGCCCATTTGCCAGTAGCTGAAAGAAACTGCAGCGAGCCACACTGTTATTGAGTACACATTACACACAAAATCCACTTAAACAAGGTACCACTTTAAGTAGATTATGCAGTGTTTGCCAGAAATGCTCACCCTTTTTTCTTTCTCCCCACAGAAAGTGTACTAACAGAACGTTTATATACAACTCCAAGAAGGGAGATTGGAGAGATCTGGCCCCCATGAAAATAGCTCGCTCAATGTTTGGTGTGGCTATCTATAAAGGGAAAATTGTAATTGCAGGAGGTGTTACTGAAGAAGGCCTTACAGCCTCTGTTGAAGCTTTTGACCTTGCCACTAACAAGTGAGTATATTATCAAAGACACTTAAAAGCAAATTATTTTTTTTATTATGATTTGGTACTGGAGAAAGCAGTGTAGCAGCCAACAGGTCAAAATGCAGATGAGTTACACTTCTTTCTTACCTTATTCATTTAATGTTGCTTCAAAAGAATGTGGACCAAAAATGCACTCACATTTTGGGAGCCTATTAGAAAAATTTAATGAGGAAAGATGAGGCACAACTACATTTAAATTACATTACACAGAGGAGCTTTGGGATGGAGTGTGTAGTCTGGTCTTAATAGAAAGGCATTTTGTGCATGTATGCTAGTCATACTGGGCACTTGTACACGTGTTGGGTTTAGTTCTCATGGTTTTATTCTATGCCCCGTAAAATGAAATAGTGGATTTTTAATTGAAAGGCACCGTTTCAATTTAGGGGCTTCTGTCACTGTTATGGCAAGGGGCCCAATCCTTTTTTTTTTTCCCCTGGCGAAGGCTGCCCACGACCAGAGGGCAAGCCCTGGAGCTGCAGGGGGCCCCGGTCCTTCCCTCCATGGTGGTGGCACTCTCCAGGGCTGCCCAGGCAGGCTGCTAGCAGGCCGAGTGCTGCCCCAGCTTAGAGGCAGCACCCAGCCAGATCCAACTCTTCCCTGAGCCCACTGAGGCTTCCAATGCCCCATGCACTGTCCCTGCTGCCTTCCTGCCACCTGGGAACACCCCAAAATGGTCTGGCTTGCCTCTGGAGCACCATGGAGAGGAAGCAGGAGGGCGGCTGGGTGTGCTGGCAGCTGGAGAAGGTGACGAGAATTGTGTACGGGGTGCTGGAAGCCCCAGTGGGCACGGAGAAGAGTTGGATCCTGCTGGGTGCTGCCTCTGAGCTGAGGCAGCACCATCCCACTAGCAGCCCACTGGGCAGCCCTGGGGGCCACCGCTGCAGCGGAGGGAAGGACCAGGGCAGCCCCCCACAGGAGAGGCAGGCAGGCTCTGCAAAAAAAAAGGATCGGGTCCCTCACCACTTCTGCCTTCAGTAGGTGCCAGCAGCTGCTAGGCACCTGCTGAAGGGAGAAATGGCAATGGGCCTGATCCTTTTTTTTGGCGGAGCCTACCTGTCTCTCCTGTGGCCAGGGTACCAGCTGTCAGATTAAATGCTGCAACATTACAAGTAACAATGTTGCAAACTAAACTACATGGGAATGTGGTTTAGTTTGCAATGTTTCATAGTTTCATAGTCGTTGGGGGTCAGAAGGGACCTGAATAGATCATCTAGTCTAACTCCCTGTCACTGGCTGGAACATGACCCCAGACAGGTGTTCATCCAACCTCTTTTTGAATTTACCCAAGGTAGGAGTGAGGACCACTTCCCTGGGAAGTTGGTTCCAGATCCTAGCCACCCTAACAGTGAAATAGTGCCTCCTAATCTCCAACCTGAACCTATTCCCCAGCAGCTTCTGGCCATTGTTCCTAGTCACCCCAGGTGCTGCTGTGGGGAAGTGGACCCTTCTTATTTGCTGCTGATCTCCCCTAATGAGTTTGTAGGCAGCCACCTAATCCCCCCTCAGCTTCCGCTTCAGGTCCCTCAGCCTCTCCTCATAGGGCCTGCACTGTTGCCCTCCAACCAAGCGGGTGGCCCTCCTCTGAACCCTCTCAAGGCAGGCCACATTCTTCTTAAAGTGTGGTGCCCAGTACTGGACGCAGTACTCCAATTGTGGCCTGACCAGTGTCATGTAGAGGGGGAGTATCACCTCTCTGGACCAGCTTGAGATGCATCTTTGGATGCATGACAAGGTGCAGTTGGCTTTGCTGGTTGCAGTCTGGCATTGGCGGCTCATGTTCATCTTGGAGTCAATAATGACTCCAAGATCCCTTTCCGCCTCTGTGCTCACAAGGGGGGAGCTCCCCAGCTTGTATGTATGCTGTGGATTCCTTTTCCCCAGGTGCAGCACCCTAAATTTATCTACATTGAACCCCATCCTATTACCACCCCCCCACTTCTGTAGTCTGTCTAAATCTAATTGCAACCTCTCTCTCCCTTTGAGCGTGCCTGCCTCTCCCCACATCTTGGTGTCATTGGCAAACTTGGACAACATGTTTTCTACCCCCTCGTCCAAGTCGGATGAAGATGTTGAACAGTGTAGGCCCCAGGACCGAGCCCTGAGGGACCCCACTATTCACATCCCACCAGGTCGAGTACGACCCGTCCACCACCACTCTCTGGGTGCGCCCCCATCAGCCAATTCTTGACCCATCCAACTGTGTAGGCATCAATACCACAGTCGCTCAATTTATTAATGAGAATGGGGTGAGAGACAGTGTCAAAGGCCTTCTTAAAATCCAGAAAGACTACGTCCACAGCAACACCATCATCCAGGGATTTAGTTACCTGGTCATAAAAGGCCATCAGGTTGGTCTGGCAGGACCTGCCTTTGATGAACCCATGTTGATTTCCCCTGGGCATGATCTCCCTTGCTGGCCCCTCACAGATGCAATCCTTGGTAATTTTTTCAAGGGTTTTCCCCAAGACTGATGTGAGGCTTATGGGCCTATAGTTTTCTGGGTCCTCCTTTCTCCTTTTCTTATAAATGGGGACCACGTTAGCTAGTTTCCAATTTCCGGGCACCTGGCCTGTGGACCATGATCGCTCGTACAGCCGGGCTAAGGGCACAGCAATGACCCCCGCCAGGTCCCTCAAGACCTGTGGGTGGAGGGCATCAGGGCCCACAGAGTTAAAAACATCCAGCCCTTCCAGAAGATTCCTAACTACTTCTGCGCAGACCTGAGGCCTGGCAGTTCTATCCCCATGATTGCCCCTACCTGTGGTGGGAGAGCTGTCCCGGTCCCTGTCCAAGAAAACAGAGGCAAAGAACTTGTTAAAAATTTTGGCTTTCTCATCTGGCGTAGCCACAAGATTACCATTTGAAACCTCCAAATGTAAACTCATTTGAAACCCCCAAATCTCACACACATGCAGTGTGTGGTGCTATTAAGCCACACAAAGGAAATTTTTGTCACGTATAGATGGTGGTGATCATCATGTGTACAAGCACCCCCTGACATTAGTTCTGATAGATGGAGAAGCAAAATGTTGGTGCTGACGTGCCTTGGACTTTGAATTATTTTTCTCCTCCTTTCTAATCAGGAATAGTGTTCCTTTGTCCTGGGGGTGAAAACCTTGAACATCGTCAGCACCCATTTGTTTACTGTAGCTGTCAGCTTCTATAGCTCATATTCTATAATAATTTAATTCAGAATATCCCTTAACTGTTGTCTGACTGGTTATGTTTCTACTACTATTTAGGTGGGAGCTTATGCCTGAGTTTCCCCAGGAGAGAAGCTCTATCAGTTTAGTCACCTTGAGTGGATCCCTTTATGCTATTGGTGGTTTTGCTATGGTTCAACTTGAATCTAATGAATTTGCACCCAGTGAAGTCACTGACATATGGAAGTAAGTTCTGTTTTGATCTCACTTTCTATTTGGAAAACACTACCTTGCCTTGCTCTAGAGAGTAAATCACATTGACATTACCATTACTTTCAGAAATGAATTATTGTACAGATTTTATTCTTTGTTTTTATATTGAGTTTGCATAGAATCTGGTGAACAGCAACAATCATTTACTTCATTACATCACAGATAAATGTGAGACTTAGCTCAGGTGAATACTTCCACCTACTAATGAATACATCTCAGGAATCAGTAAGGGTACATAGAGAAGTAGGATATAATATTTCTTGGTAGATTCAGCCTGATTTAAAATTAAATACAAATTAACAATTTCCACTGCATCATGTTCTCATGCAGGATGCTCTGAAAGAGTCAGATAAATTAATGTTATCCCTATTATTGCTTTCATCCACATTAATAGGCAGGTGAATAGCAATCCAGGATGTTGGTTGTGTCCACACTTTAAGAGAGTGTCACAGCCCCTTTAAGAGAGTGTCAGGTACATACTTATATCTACACTGAAAGATTCCACTTTATCTGTGACTCACCTCATGTTAAAGTAACTTTAGGCGTTGGAATTAGTCAATGGGAAAGCAGAAAAGATTCCTGAAAGCATGTGTAAAGAAAGATTTGAAAAAAAGGAGTGGGAAAGAGAGGATGAGGAGGAGCAAGGTGATGTTCTAATATTCTGTTCTGGAGGACAGCAGTGTCCTTATGTAGCACAGTTTAGCATAAAAGCTACCCAAGAGCCTTTTGAAACTGGTGGGTTATAGGGGTGCACAAATAAGGATTTTTGGGGCCAATACCGATTATTAACGAGCCATATCAGTTGATACCAATCCAATTGCTGATATACAGCCCAGCAGCTTGGAGAGCAGCATCCAGCTGGTAAGTCTCCTGGGGGTGAAGGGGTGGGGGGAGGGAAGGAAAAGAGCATGGGGGGGCAAATCAAAGCCCCTATAGTGAGGGAGGGAGTGGGGAAGGAGTACGGGTGGGCAGGGGAGGCTGCAGGATGTCTGGGAAGTGTGGGTGGGGACTGGCTTCCATTTCTGTGCACAGCCCTGGGGGAGGCATGGGGGGGCATGTGCCCCCCAGATCTGTGTGTGGGGCAAGGTTGGGCTGCCGCTGCAGGCTGGGGCTGGGGCCAGGAGTGGTACCAGGCTCTTCTCAGTGCAGGGGGTGAGCCGGAGCTGTGCTCGGGGTGGGCAATGACGGCGCTAGGAGGGGGTGCTACAGGAGGGCTACGGCAAGTTCTGGGGTGGTTGCAGCCCCCCCATAGCTCCTCCCAGCATGGCCACCCCCCACTCCGAGCACATCACCACCCACCCCAAGCACAGCACTGGCTCAAGTTCCCCACCGGGAAGAGCCCAGTGACACCCCCAGCCCTCAGCAGCACCCTGCACACAGATCCAGAGGGCACATGCCCCTCATGCCTCCTCTGGGGGAAGCACAGTGATGAGAGCTGCTCCCCCCACACCACCCAAATGAATCACTCTTGGTTCCGTCCTGCACCTCACCCCGGCTGGGCAGTGCCTACCTCTGCACCAGACCCACTCCCTCCCTCACTGCAGGGGCCTCAGTCCGCCCCCATCATGCCCCTTCCCTCCACTCTTTCCCTTCCCCTCAATTCAACTTACCAGCTGGATGATGCTCTCCAAGGTGCCAGGTTGGCCGTGTGCATGCTGTGACTACGTTCATGCATGCAGCATTTAGCAGCAACATTATCAGCCACGTCAGCCAAAAAAGAGCCAATTGCCAATAATGTCAATTTTTCTTTTATCAGCACCGATACGATGTGGACTTGTGTATCAGTGCACCCCTAGTGGGTTATATTCCTTTCCTTGTGGGTACTGGAGGAGAAGCTCAAGTCCAAAAATCTAAAGTTAAAAACATGCATGTCTGTATTGACTGTGTTTTATTTAACTGCAGATATGATGATGAGAAGAAAGAATGGAGCGGCATATTGAAAGAGATTCGTTATGCCTCTGGAGCCTCCTGTCTTTCAACACGGTTAAATCTATTCAAGCTATCAAAGCTATAAACAAAAAGGCTGAAAAACTAATTATGGTGAGAAACAGTCTCTTTTCCCTATTCATTATTTTTATAAAAACCCAAACTGTACAGGAATTCATAGCTAAATCATTATAAATTAAAATGTTACCTTAAAGATTCTACAAGCTTTGTAGGTTAATAACGAAAACTAAAATATCATTACATTTTTAAATCTAGTTTCTGAGCAACATGGAATGGAATCTTTTGAATAACTGAGCTACTGAAGAAAAGTTAATTCCTTCAACATGTGGAATTCCTGTTGAAGTTAAACAGTGTCTTCATATAGGGCTTATACACTTGGGTACTTAGTCTCAAAATAACTTTTAAGAATTTCTTCCTAAAAATTAATTACTTTCTAGATCAGTTAAATTGCACTTGATATTGGCAAGTCATTTGTAGAATCTTATTTTCTACTTCAGTGGTATCTATAACATATAGTCACCCTTCAGCCAGATCTATAAAAGATTTTTCTAGTGGACACTGGCATGGAACAGGCCTGTAGATTAAAAATGGCATGAGACCTATCAGCTAATGCTATACTAATGGTTCTGCCAACAATGGGGAAAAAAAATAAAAATTTAGAAGGTTAATAGCCCTACAAGCTTGACCTTGTAAAACCCTAGTATGCCTCCTCCATCCCCCAAATTATTTTTTTTTTTGTAAAGCAAATACTTAATGCTTTATTTTAAAGATTTGAGACCAGTAACCCATACCTTATTAGCTATCATCAAATACTTCTGACACTAGGAACTCTCTTCAGTAAGGAAATTGATTTCATTTGAAGGCTATTAAATAGTAACATTTTTAAACTATAAAAAGTAATTTTGTGTGGGGTTTTTTGTGTTTTTTTTATTATTATGGCTTGGTAATCAGCCAAGTCAATAATACTCAGATGTTAAAGGAAAGAGGAGTACAACAAAATAAAGGGCATTTCTTGGGAGTTGTGCTATAGAACTTAAGACCCTAAACTCATTTGAGTCCCGTTTCTCTTTTTGGGGTTTCTTGTTGTTCTCCTGCCCTGGCGGGGGGTCGGGCTAGAAGATCTACTAGGTCCCTTCCGACCCTTAATCTATGAAATCTATGAAACTATTAATAGATTTCTTCTATTGTGAATGAAGGTCTGAGAGTAGAAGAGCAGGGATTTTGGTGAGCAGTCTTAACTTTTTTTTTCATTTCTACACCTAGCTACTCTGCATAATACAAATCATCCCATACACACACTTGAGCTGTACCAAAAATACTTGTGCACATGCGGTGCTCTATGCCTCATTACTAGCAAGGTATTGATTGAGGGTGTTAAAACAGTATATTCCTGAAACTATTTTCTGCCTTCACTGCTTCTTACTTTACATATCACAACTGTGCTTCCAACCGAGAGGAATGGGTTGAGAAGGTGGATGACTTTTCTAATGATAAAGAGTCTAAAAAGATAGAAAGCCTTCCACACCTCTGCAAAAAGGCCCGGGCTTAGTCACTGTATATGCCTTAAGAGCAGTGCTGACAAAGAGTTCCCTTTTATTTCTTTCAGAGACCTGTGGAAAGCAGCAAGAGTTGTGAGCACCAGCAAGAGCCTGCTGTTCAACAGTTCTCACAGGCTGTGTGTGAAAAGCAAGGCTATTTAGAGCTAGACAGAGCTAATTTTGTATGCATTATTGAAACAACTAGGAGCCAGAAATGAAAATGTATCAAAGGCCTTGATTATTGTATATTCTATTTCTATAATAATTATGATACAGGTTTCATAATAAAGTCTTTGCCCAAAATGTAATCTAGCATTCATATATTCTTAAAGCACTGACAGCACTTTTATGAATACCACTTGAAAGGATTTCCCATTGAATGAATTAGAGGAGTCCACAATTGTAATAAAATCATGTTTACAGCTAACACATCAGGAAGTTTTAGAAAAAAAACTCAGTGGGCACATCTACACATGACAGTACATCACCAATGCACTGCAGCACCGTAGTGTTCACTGGCAAAACATGCAAGTACGTCACTGTAGCAACGTGCTCTCTGGTTATAGTGCGTCGCTATGGCAACAGTGCCTAAAAATAACCATGCGCACCACACACAGCGCAGTTATTGGCTGTTACTGCCCTGTCTTTTAGTACAGGCAGTCCTCGACTTACAATATTTTGAGTTACAACATTTTGCAGTTACAGCGTTTATAAAGTGACACCCTGTTTCAACTTTATGACATCAGTTTCGACTTTACAATGCTTGATCCGATGCGATGCCACACCAATGAACAAGTTCGCTGTGTCACTCATCTCCCTGGAGAACATCTGTCCAAAGTTCCTTGGACAGTTTCTTTAAGAAAGCAGACAAGACTCCAGAAAAACCTGCAGCCAAGACTCCTGAGAAGACTCCAGCCAAGAACCCTTCAAAAAGTCCAGCAAAGTCACCTCAAATAAGTCCTTCCAAATCAATATGATCACTGTTTACCATATAAATACATTAATGTAGCTATATTACTCACCTATAATTGATCGAGTACAAAATTCTGGGGTATTTTTAGTGAAAATAGGGTATCAGGCCTATCCCCTATTTTATAACATTGTTTCTTATGAGAAAATTGGTTCCAAGTTACGTTTCGACTTAAGACATGGTTTTCAGGAACCAACTCTCTCTCAAGCCCAAGGACTGCCTGTACCTCCAAAAGGAAGTTTGGCACAGTAACAA